CTGCGCAGACTGAATTTCATAAGGGTAGGATTCATGCTTAAATCTGCTTTTTCTAACTTTGGAATGCTTGAAACCTAAACAACATTCTCAAGGTGTTGGCTATGGACAATAGGATTCTTTTCCCTTAGCAGATGTTTGAGCTGCAGAAGCTGCTACTGGCTTAGCTCTGCTGTATTTCTAAAGCAAAACAGAACAGTGGGCCCTCAGCTGTCTCTGCAGGTGTTGCTGGCTGCCCACTCAGCTCAGCTTGAGAAGGAAAGATGGGCCAGGCAGTTTGGTTCAGGCAGCAGTACCTGTGGCACTAGCAAACTAGAGGGTTAGCTACCCCATTACTGCAGCTTCTTGTATTTTTCCCCTGGAAAATACTGTACTTAACAGTATTTTCAAGAAAGATTTTTTTCTTCATTTGGCTTTTCAAAAACCAGAAGTTCCTGTTACTTTAAGAGGAAAGTGAAGTAGGCCAACTTTGTTGTTTAGGCAGGCAGCTGAGCAGGATCTAGCTGCACAACAACAAGCTTTCTGTGGGGGGAAGAGTACCACAAAGGTTGACAAAAAGGCTGCAAGCAGCTGGGTCAAGCTATAGCAGGGAGGAACAGGCTGACCATTAGGCACAAAGAGAAACCCCTGTGCCTGATTAGGGAGTCACCTGACCAGGAGCACCTAAGCCCAGTACAAGAATGAAGGTAAGCAGTCTGGTCTTTGTCTACTGCAGAGTCCCAAGGAGAAAAGGACTGAAAACATAAACAAACCAAAACCAACCAAACAAACAAAAAACCCACCCCTGCCTGGCAAGCATCCAAGTGGCTCTTGGGAGCTGGGAGGTAAGAGCCAGAAGGGAGGTGGAGCTTGTGGGATGGCATAAACTTAGAAGGGAGGGGGGATATTTGTTTAAAGTGGCTGCTTGTCTTTGTGTTGCATTAAGTTGAAATCGGAGGACCAGGTTATAGTCACAATTGCAGCATGGAGGCTTTAGGGGTACCCAAGAGGCACAGTGCATAGAGCCCTGTATGCATCAAGGACCAAAAGGGAGTTGAGTAATACCAGAACCACCTAATTTGGGTTGGGTTGGGGCCCCAGGAGTCTGAGGGGTACATGTGGCTGGGTCTGAGATTCCAGGGGGAGGGGGGCAGAGCATGAGACAGGGGACCAATGCATGAGACATAGTCTAGGAGCCTAGAAACTCCCATATGGAGTGGGCTGAGACTGATGAACTTGGGTCATAGTTGAAGGCAGGTAGCCATAATAACAGTGGGCTAAAGCCAGAAGGGCTGAGGCACTTTCAGGAGGGTCTAAGACATTGTCCAAATAATACCTGTGAGACATGGGTATGGCTACAGTGGAGGACAGAAGCCACAGTTACTGGCCCTTAGGTGGTTTGAACTCTATGGCACAGATAGGGCCAGGGGCTATGACAGTCAGAGGCATGGGATGGATGCCATCCAGATATTTGAGACAATAGACAGCAGAGGGACTGAGACTCACTTTGGGGCCTTGGGAAAGCCTTCCTAAACATGCTTAGTTACATCAAGGCATGACAGATGTGGTAGAATGGGAGTTGGAGGTGGGTGGGAGGTGCTTGGCCACCATGGAGAAGACATAGCCACCCCTGGGGCCTCAGTCTGCTGCATTTAGTGCATTGGCTAGGATGGCCATGTGCAAGGGACTCCGTTTCCCTGGACAAAATGAGAGAAACCTTGGGCCATGCAAGGGCAGAGGAATATACACTGTAAGTAGGTTTCCAGCCCACTTGCTAGGTGAGGCAATGCCACAGGAGGCCAAGCAAACAAGTGGGATCACAGCTAAGAAATGGGGGATAACAGACTAGTAAACTTTGAGAGAAGGGATTTAATTTTGGGGAGATAATCTGCTCCTGCTTCTCTGCATATGTAGACACCTGCCTGGGATAATTTATTTGTGAGTAGTTTACTCCCACATCAAATAAGTGTGTAGAGACGCCTACTGGGCTGCACTAGTAGAAACATTGCCAGCAGATCAAGAGAAGTAATTTTTCCCCATCTATTCAGCACTGGTGAAACCACATGCAGAGTACTTTGTCCAGTTTTGAGCCACCCACTACAGAAAGGATGTGGGAGAGAGTCCAGGGGAGGGCTATGAAAATGGTTATTTTTTCATTTACCATTGAAATGAAAAAATATTTTCATATTTTTTCATTAAACACAGCATGGGGCACACGCTGTATGAGGAAAAGCTAAAGGAATTGGGCTTATTTAGTCTGGAGAAGAGAAGACTGTTCAAGGATTTCATAGCACTCTTCAATTACCTGAAGAGTAGTTCCAAAGATGATGGATCTGAAGAGCTCTCAGTGGTGGTAGAGAATAGAACAAGGAGATATGGTCTCAAGTTGCAGCATGGTAAGTTGAAGTTAAATGTTAGGAAGAACTTTTTCAGTAGGAGGGTAGTAAAGCACTGAAAAACAGATTATCCAGAAAGGTTGTGAAATCTTCATCCTTGGATGTTTTTAAGACCCAGCTAGACAAAGCCTTGGGTGGGAAGATAGAGTGGGCATGGTCCTGCTTTTAGATGACATCTAGCTGACCTCCTCAAGTCCCTTTCAACCCTAATTTTCTGAGAGTCTATTTCCAAAATCATATGTGGGTCTCATCCTCATGTAGTCAAACTCTGTCTAAAACTTAATTTTCTTGAGGCTTGGTTTCTCCCCAAGTCTCTGGTTCTCTTTGTCCAATGTGATGCTGGTTTGTTTGGAGTTTAGCAAGTTCTTTCTGTGGGGTTCCAATTTCTCTCTTCCTGTGGTTCTGCTCTTCCTGACACATCTTCTCCACAGTGTTCATTTTGGTCTGTTAGCAGTGATACATAAACCTTACTGGCATTAGTTCTGGTAGGGCTTAGACACTGACTAGTGCCTCCTACAGTGGTGCCACCAGCTCTTGACTTTGTGTAGATCTTTCTTGCCATTCCTTTGCTTCTGGATGAATCTCTTTCTGGTGTTCATCTTGAGTTCTTAATTGCTTTTTAAAGGAGTCTATGTATGTATCCTTTGTTTTCTATTTTATTTTTTCCCCATTTCCTGAGCCATTAGGCACCTCTGTACCACCTGCAATGTAATGTCTGCTATCTCTTTCCTTAGCATTAGCAGTTTTTCTTTGCTTTCCCAGATTTTCTTAGATTCAGTAATGAGTATTTTCTTCAGCTCCCACATTTTTTTCTACCTACATGACTATTGGGTTCTTCAGTTATTTATTTTATCTTTTTTCTGCCACCTGTACCCATTTCTTCAAAGATGTTACCTTGGTTTCCTGTTGTTCCTGATAGCAGCATTAAATCTTCTTTATCAGCGATTTGGACGATGGGGTGAAAAGCAACCTGTTCAAATTCACTGATGATACCAACATCTGGGGTGAGTTGGGCACGCTAGTAGGGAGGGAAAGGCTGTAGAAAGACCTGGATAGGTTGCAAGGGTGGGCTGACCAAAACAGGATGCGTTTCAATGCGGACAAGTTCAGGGTGCTGCATTTGGGGAAGTAGTAACCGGCAACACACTTATAAGATGGGAAACTCCCTTCTTGAGAGCATGGAGGCAGAAAGGGATCTTGGAGTCATCATTGACTCCAAGATGAACATGGGCTGACAATGTGAGGTCACGGTTGGCAGGGCTAACCTATCGTGCCTATCGTGCGTATCGTGCATCCACAGGTACATCTCAAGTACGGCCAAGGAGGTGATCCTCCCCCTCTACGTGACACTGGTCAGGCTGCAGCTGGAATACTGTGTCCAGTTCTGGGTGCCCCACTTCAAGAGGGATGTGGACAACATTGAGAGGGTCCAGAGGAGGGCCACCCGCATGATCCGGGGACAGCAGGGCAGACCTTACAATGAGAGGCTATGGGACCTGTACCTGTTCAGCCTTCATAAGAGAAAGCTGAGGGGCCTTGTGACCATCTATAAACTCACTTGGGGGGACCAGAAGGATTTAGGGGAGACCTTGTTTCTTGTTAGGGCGGCTAGTATCTGGAACCAACTTCCAAGGGAGGTGGTGCTGGCTCCTACTCTGGGGGTCTTTAAGAAGCAGCTTGATGCCTACATGGCTGGGGTCACTTGAGCCCAGTTTCTCTCCTGCCCAGGCAGGGGGTTGGACTTGAAGATCTACAAGGTCCCTTCCGACCCTACTTCTATAATTCTATGAACTGTAATCTCCCAATGCAGGTGGGCTGCTCTTCCTGTGACCCCTTCAGAGTACAGTTATGATTATAGTAACTGGTGTTTCAGTTCCCTTATGATACTGGCCTCTACTTCGGCCTAGTCTCTGCTCTTATATTCTGGTCCCTAGGGCAATACATGTTCTGAGAGCTGCTTTTGCATAGTCACCTAGATTTTCTGGGCTGCTGTAGAATATGGGGCTCCTGCCCCATTCCCTCCCTCACTGTGGAGGCTTTAATCTGCCCCCTCCCCCCAAACTAACCTGCTAGGTGGTGGGGCAGGGGAGGGGTGTGGTAGATCCTGGATTGCCCTTTACTTCAAAAAGTGACCTTCACCTTTAAAAGGTTGGAGACCACTAGTCTATACAAGTGCTACTGCACAGTAAATAATTACAAGTAAATTTGCTACTTGCGTTTGCAGGTAGCAAACTTACTTATGATTAACAAGGTTGACTGCGCACTAAGTGTGCACACATGTAGACACGCATGCTTACTGCATTGTAAACTAGGCTACTGCACAATAAAATGGCTTGTGTAGGCACACCCAGTATGCCCTTAGCCTTCTTCACAACAGGGGTATGTTGTTGGCTGCTATTCAGCTTAGTGTCCATGTCACAGAGCATGGAGGTGCTCTGCTCCTAAAGAGGGGAGACTGCTGGGGAAAGAGCCCTAGCAGTGAGTAAGGAGCCCAGCTGTGGGTTGCCAGGGCAACTGGAGCAAATGACCCACACCTGCCAGCAGTCAGCTGACTGAAAGGGGCAGGGCCTGGCTCCCTTATAAACCCTAGGGGCTGAGGCCAGAGGGAGTTCCCTGCCAGCAGCCCAGGAGGAAGGAGCTTTCTGCCATGGAAGTGAGGAGAAGCCTGAATGCAGGAGCAGCATCTGACACTGCTGCTAGATAAAGAATCCCTGGTAGGCTTGAATGTTGCTATGGCTGAGCGGCTTGGGTTTATGTTATAGCCAAGGGGCTTGTGTTTGTGTCGCTGTTTGTCACTGGTGGTTTGGGTGAGGCTATTAGGGGTTGGAGGAGGCCTCATAGGGGACCCACAGCAGGGTGGGAACCCGTGTGCCAGCAAGGGTGCAGCATTTGGGGTGCATTGACCCCAGCCTCAGAGAGGGGCAGTTGAGAAACCCCAGGAAGGGGGGGTTGCTGAGAAGCCCCAGTGTGGGCATGGTGAGCCCCAGAGAAGGGGGCAGCTTTGCGGAGAAGGCCCCAGAGAAGGGGGCGGCATTATTTTGAGTCCCTAGAAAAAAGGGGGAGTGAAGAGCCCCAGGAGAAGGGGGCAGCATTGTGGAGAAGCTCTAGAGAGTGGGCATGGGGAGAGACACGGCCGCGGAGAGCCCAAGTGCCAGAGAGAGGATGTAGACCCAGACCAGACAATGTCTATTTAAGCTGAGAGGTTTGGGGTGTGGTAAAGGGGTGGTTGGAGCCACACACGGCCCATAAGGCTAGGGTGCCCCTGAAGCACCCATTGCAGAGTGGGAGCCATGAGAGGCGAGGGAAACCACGGGGTTTTAGTGTACATCAAGACATGACCGAGAGGGCGTAAAAGGCAGCCTCCCAAATAGGTGTCATCAAAGACGTGGTGGTTGAGAATTTGAGGGTGCCCTTGGCCCGACTTGGCATGGAAAGGGGGCCTTGAGGAGATCATGGCCCTCCTGCAGGACCCCGTTGTGACAGTCCACTATAATGTTTTGGTCCTTTTCTGGAGATCTGCTGCTTATCCAGTAGGTCCCCAGCCTTTACCAGTGTATGGGAAAGTTGTGTCCTTAGTGCAGGACGTTGCACTTCTCCTTATTAGACCTCATGAGATTTCTTCTGCTCCCATCTGAATCAATTAATTGAATCACTGTCCCTGATCTGGCCTGAATCCAAATTGAATAGGGTCCACTTTGCACACCCCTAGAGATCATATCAAAAGCCTTGCTAAAGTCGAGGTATAGCACATCCACTGTTCTTCCCACATCCGTAAAACCATTCATCTGATCACAAAAAGCAATTGGCATGACTTGCTCTTGGTGAATCTACGCTGACTGACCCAAATCACATTCTTCTCCAAGTGCTTAGAAATTGATTTTTTTGAGGACCTGCTCCATGATTTTTCCAGGGACTGAGGTGTGGCTTATTGGTCCGTAGTTCCCTTTCTTAAGGATGGGCACTATAATTTTCCCTTTTCCAATCATTCGGGGCCTCTCTTGATCATCATGAATTTTCACAGATGATGCCCAGAAGCTCTGCAATCACATGAGCCAACTGTCTCTACACTCTTGGTCGCATCCAATCCCATCTGGTTTCATAGATTAATAGATTGTAAGACTGGAAGGGACCTTGGAAGATCTTTGGGTCCAGGCCCTGGCAACAAGCAGGAAAGACAACTGGAATCAGGTGATCCCAGCAAGGTGTCTGTCCAGTCTCCTCTTGAAGATTTCCAGGGTAGGTGATTGTACCACCTCTGGAGAGAGCTTATTCCACAGGCTGTATACCTTAGTTGTGAAGCAGTTTTTCCTAATATTCAGCCTGAAACTGTCTTCCAGGAGTCTGTGTTCATTACTCCTACTTTTCCCCAAGGGTGTCCTGGTGAACAGTTGTTCACTGAGCCCTTGGTGTACGTTTCTGATGTAGTGGTAAGCTGCTACCAAGTCCCCTCTCAGCTGCCTTTTTTTCAAGCTGAAGAGTCCCAGATCCCTCAGTCTTTCCTTGTATGGCTTGCCATGCAAGTGTCGGATCATACAGGTGGCCCTTCTCTGGAATCTCGCAAGTTTTACCACATCCCTGTTAAAGTGTGGTGCGCAGAACTGGATGCAGTACTCCAGCTGCAGTTTCACCAATGCCAAGTAGAGTGGGAGAATCACTTCTTTGGTTTTGGTGGAGATGCATTGATTGCATGCCAGGGCGTTGTTAGCCCTGATGGCTACAGTGTCGCACTGCTGGCTTGTGTTCATACTGTGGTCTTTTATTACCCCCAGGTCCCTTTCATTCATAGTGCTGGTCAGGTTGGCATTGCCGTGGACTTGTAGACATCCAGCTTTTCTAAAGAATCCCTACCCTGTTCTTTTGCCACTATTGCCTGTTCCCCAGACTCTGCTGCCAAGTGCAGTAATCTGGGAGCTGCTGACCTTGCCTGTGAAGACTGAGGTGAAAAAGGCATTGAGTACTTCAGCCTTTTCCACATCATCTGACACTAGGTTGCCTTCCCCACTTACTAAAGGACCCACAATTTCCCTGCTTTCCTTTCATTACTGACATACTTGTAGAAACCCTTCTTGTTTCTTTTCATGTCCCTTGATTGCTGCAATTCCAGTTATGCTTTGCCTTTGCTGATTTTTATTCCCTGCATGCCTGAATAATCTTCTTATACTCCTCCCTAGTTGTTGGTCCAAGTTTAGACTTCTTGTAAGGTTCCTTTTTGTGTGTGAGCTCAATGAAGATTTCCTTGCTAAACTGAGCTGGTAATCTGACATACTCCCTAGTCTTCCTGCACACCTGATGGTTCGTTTCTGCATCCACAGTAAGGTTCCTTCAGTAAGTACAGACAGCTGCCCTTGACTCCTTATCGTTCAGAATGTCCTCACAGGGGATCCAGCCCATCACTTATCTGAGTGAGTGAAATTATGCTTTTCTGAAGTCCAGGGTTCACACCCTGCTGCTCTCCTTCCTTTCTTTCCTCAGGATTCTGCACTTAACCATCTCATGGTTGCTGCTGCCCAAGTTGCCATCCACTACTACATTCCCCACAATCTTTTTCCCTGTTTGTGAGCAGCAGGTGGAGAAGAGCATGAGTCCTAGTTAGCCTCTCCAACACATGCTTTAAGCAGTTGTCCCCAGCACTTCACAAAAACTTCCTGGATTGTTGTGCACTGCTATATTGCCCTCCAAGCAGATGTCAGGGTTACTAAAGTCCCTCACAAGAACCAGGGCCTGTGATCTGGAAATTTGCACTAGCTGTTTGAATGCATCATCTACCTCTACCTCCTGGTCTAGTGATCTGTAGTAGGTACCCCCCATGACATCACCCTGGTTGTTTTCTGTTTTGTTTTGTTTTTCCCCACCTCAGGCTTGTTGAAAGTCTCTGGGTTAGGGTCAATCTCCAGTTTTCATACTGGAGCACAGAGCAATCAAAGCTCTTTTATTCAACCACCTTATCCTCATAAATCATGACTCCTCCTCTTCTACCTTGCCTGTCCTTCCTGAACAATTTATACCCACCCATGACAGTGCTCCGGTCATGTGAACTATCCCACCAAGTCTGTTATTTCAGAGATGTTGGGGGTCAAGGGCACAGGTGCTGGAATGGACAGTCCTGGAAGATTCAAGGGGAGATGGAAGGATCTCAGGAGGGAGGGTGGAACCACAGCTCCACAAGAACCAGAACAGACAAAAGAGTAGAGGAGAACAAAGATGCTGAGGAGAGTGGAAACCAGCCTCTGGGGACAGAGTGAGCCCCACCAAAACTGTACCCACCGGGAGAAGCTGCAGGGGTGCCAGAAGTGAAAGTAATGATTGCATGCACAAGGGGAGAGGCTGTGGGAGCTAGTTCCACATTCCACTGTGAGAGAGAGAGAGAGAGAGAGAGAGTCCCTGTCTGAGGCAAACGAAAAAAGCTTGAAGGTCAGAGACAAAGAATCCCGCAGACAGACAACATGACTCTGAAGCAGAAAGGCAGGCCTTCACAAAGTAGTCTGGAAATTATGATCCCTAAATGTAAGGGACATGAGTGGTGATTACTGCATTACCTGGGGATGAGAAGACCCCAAGTCAGGGGAGGAATTTCCTTTAAAGATAAGGGAAATAACAGTTTCCCTGAAGTGGTTTAATGGACTGCTGCTTTGTGGAGAATTGGGAAAAGGGCAAGACAAGGAAAAGCCCTTGCCAGACGTGCAGGGGTGGTAAGACCCCCGTATCTGTTGGAGACGTTGAGAGTCCCAGGCATAATGAGGAAGTGTTCTTACAAGAGATGTTGTAAGCAAGAAAATACAGTATGTAGATGGTATGGTATGTAGGTCTTCATAGCTAGCTAATTTTGTTAGCTTTGGAGTATAAAAACAAATCTGTGTTTCTGTCTCCATTCCTTAAGGGTGGATTGCAGCTCCCAGGGTATTATTACCTCTAGAGTAGCATAGTCATTATATTGCCCTTTTCTAGGAGAGGGCCATTTTGGTACACCTGGGTCAGGAGTAGGCCCAAAATTTTCTGTTATGTGCACAGCGATGAAACCCAAGACACATTTTTTCAGTTGTCAGTTTGCTGAAGGGAAAAAACATCACAGGTGCAATACCTTAGTCTCTAAATAAGATCTTCTATTGTTATCAGCACAATAGGATGTATAATACATGTTGTTTTTTTATCACCCACTTTGGAGTCTGTTATTATATTAAAGGTATTTTTTCCATCACAATGACTCTATTATACACATGATCAAATGCCAGTGTGTGTGTTATACTCCAGGAAAAAAGCACCTATTTGTAAAGTTAGCTGGCACATTTGTGAACATAAAAGTTTCACTAGGAGGAAACATACTGCATCTGGATAGTCATTATTATGTACTGGGTTCTATTATGATCTATTCTTTGCTTCAATTATTGGTTTTCAGAGGCACAGTTTGTCTTGAGAGGACAACTTTGTAGGGGGAAAATGTTTTTTTCTGAATTGTGATATTGGATACCAGTATGCAGTAAACTAATGAACTTCTGGTGAAATGAAAATTGTTTTGGAGAGCAACATATTTATTTATCCTATTTAATCATGGTTGTTATGGATAAAAGGTTTTATGGCCTTTTTCTGTTTGTGAAACACTATACATTTCTTCAGCTAAAAATAGAATTTTTAAGATGCTAGTTGCTTTTAGTAGTAACTTATTTGTATGCATGCATCTCTCTCTTTGAACACTATAGCAAGGGCATTTGAGTCCTAGTCACTGGATGCTACCAAAAAAAAAAAAAAAAAAAAGTTGCCATTTTTAAAGGAGCCTAAGGGAGTTAAATGTACAAATCCCATGAAATGTCAAGGTCAACTGACTCCTTTAGGCTCCTTACACTATGAACACTGCATATTTATGGCTATACCAAGAATTCTTGGCAGGGGCATGTCTCAGGGTTGAAAACCAAAACATTTTTCTAATAAAAACCTTCCTCAGAGACCATTTTCCTCTTCAGTCCACCTACTGTATTAATTCAAATCCAAGACTTTTTTTTTTTTTTTTAATCTCTCAATTGGCATGGCAGGAGGGAGCGGGTGGTGGGCTTGTCTTAATTTCAGGTATCTGTCCAGGGCTTGGGGCTGAAGCCAGAGCTGAGTTGTCACCTGCCTTGTACTATGGTAGCTTATTTGGTGGAAAAGAGGGTTCACAGCTGGGGGAAAGGGAAAGACCTCAAAGTGGGGGGGGAAGGAATGGGAAAGACCCAGATGTATGGCTTGGAGGAACTGTAGGGGAGACCAGAGTAGCGCCCCTCTAGCAGTGTGCCCCTCCCCCTTCCTCAACACTTACCTTCTGCTCTAGCTATGATCCTGCCTGTCTAGGAGCTGCTGCTGCTTCTCCCTAGCTGGGCTGGACAGGGCCTGAGCCAAGGCCACCACTGCTGAAACCTGTCTCGGATCTAGAGTAAAGATGCAGTAGAAAGTAAGTAGTGTCAGTGAGGGAGGGAGCAGGGAGTGGATGGGTGGTAGGCATGGTTTGGGGGGGTGGGGGAGGTACAGGTGAGTGCAAAGGGTAGAGCAGAAGGAAAGCTGCAAGGGGGAGCAGGGTGTCGCAGGCTAGGCACAGAGTACAAGAGATATTGGGCCAGTGAGTAGAGAGTAGGCACAGAGAGGCAGGCACCTGGGGAAAACAGGTGGCAGGGGTACAGACAATGGGGGACAAGTATAGCCATAGGGGAACATGATGCTCCGCTTGTTGCCGCTTTCTTCACTGCAGAAGTGTGTGTGTGTGTGTGGGTGGGGGGGGGGGGGGGGGGTGTAGAATTTAAGATGACCTCCCACTAATTGGATTCTAGATATAGAAAATTATAACACTTATAATCTTCCATGTAATCATTGTGGGTCATCTTACATTTGGATAAAATGGTAAATTGCAATCTAAGTAGATTAGTTATGCTTGTTTGGTGCCAATATCTATTCCCAGTTTTTCTACTTGTCTCGCTTATGCCACAGTTCCTGCTAGTTAAAATTCATGTAGTTTAAATTGGATGGTGAGGACTTCCGTATGGGATCAGATTACATTCTATAACCTGACACTGATTCTATGATATCTTAAAGTCTGAACCAATATACATGTATAGCCTTAATCATACAGGCTGCTTGCAGATGTAGAAGAAAAACCAAAAATGGTGCTTTTCTCTAAACTTGATGCGCTTCCATGGCTACCCTAGTACATGTCCAGAAGAGACAGTGTGTTAGTTGCACCTGGCTTTCCCAATGTCTGTATAGATTGGGTGCCTCAGTGGGGCTTTTTTGGTGTTTTTTTGTTGAATAGCTGATTGAATCAGCTATTCAATAAAAGCACTAGAAAGCTCTGTTGAAGCACCTGAGCCATAGATACTACAGAGCCATGTCTATATCTAATATGCTGCTGCTTCCAGTAAAGCATGGGTTTGTTTGTTTGTTTGTTTTTCTACATCTCTCAGTGCCCACAAGGATCAGCTCATTGGTGGCCTTTTCATTCAACTGAAATCTTATTAATATAAATAGGGTTCCATACCAGTGATTCTCATAGCAACATTACTATGATTCTCTGTGGGCTTTGTTACACATCACATTTTAAGCTTCTCAAATATTGATCATTGTTAGTGTTTGCTGAGGTTTTTAGAGCAGTCACATATTCAGGCTAAAAACCTTCTCTGAAGGTCCCCAAACTCCACAGCTGTGGCTTTCCACTAGAGAGCTGGCCACCAGGGGCCTGATTAGGAGGTACAGTGGTGAGTTGCCACTAAAGATTAGTGAGCCAAGATAGGTTTCTATCCCTGTTGTAGGTGGGGGTGGGATGGAGAAATGGGTTGGTGGGGGTAGGAGCATGAGGCTGTAAAGGGGAGAGCTTTAATTATGGTGACTGGATAATGAAATGGGAAGTGGAGAGGCAATAGGTGGGAATAGTATCTGGGATCTAGGTGGTGAAATGAGGGAAGTCAGCCACAGAAGTCACTAAAGGATAAAATAAAAAGTAAGTAAATTTTAATGAATTTGGATTGGGACTGAGACTGGGTAGCCCCAGCTCACAGGAATCCTGATCTGGGCCCCTACCTTGCTCCCCTCTCTACCTCTATAGCCCTCCCTCCTGGACTGGTTGCCCCTGCAAGCTGCCTGGACAGGTCATGACCCCCCAGGGGCAGACAGGGGAGTTAGCTTGCTGCCAGTATCAGCCCATGGGCAGTAGAATTTAGGAAGTAGAAATTTGTCCACACAGAACTGGACACTGCATTCTGGCATGCTGGAGGACAGAAAGTTGGGTGGCTTATCTCTGGGGAGTGGCCACACATTCATAGAGCAGGAGCTGGGCAAAATGGATCGGACGAAACCTGCTCTGGAGTGCTGTAAGTTTTTTAAGACCCCTAAAGGGTGCTTAAAACTAGTTGAGGTGTGTGTGTGTGTGTGTGTGTGTGTGTGTGTG